ATCACCACACCTAGAGCTTCTGTGTCCCTTGAATTCAGCAAGTGACATGCTGAAGGACAGGCCCTCAAGGGTCCTCTACCAGCATGGCAGCCCCACAGTGTCCAGGATAAGAGGCTATGCTTATCTTGTTTGTGGCAGAGAACCTGTCCCTCATGTAAAGCTGGGAAAAAGTAGCCCTCAGCTCCAAGAGTGGACACTAGATTTCCTACCACACATGGGCCATGGCTGATCCCCTCAGTGGTCCTGTCTCTGGTGAGTCTAAGGGAGGTGCAGATAGTTGAGGTAAACAGACCCACCTCTGCACCTCCCAGAGCACCCTGGCCCCTGCCCAGATCCCTACATGCTGCCCATTGTACCTGCTGGCCTTGTCCGAAAGGCCAGGGGCTGGCTCCAGGAGCTCCAGGTCCTGTGGTCACCTCGTTGGGCCAATACCCGCACCTGGAGCTCATATGAGGTGTCAGGAGTAAGCGTCTCCAGGTGGATCCATTGTTGTGGCTGCTTGAGGCTTAGCAGGGGTGCATCCTGAGCAGAGATGGGTGCCCTCTCAGCAAGGACTCCACCGTCCAACTCACCTCCCACAACCATGTCAAGAGGCTATGCAAGCAATCTCTCCCTGGCCCTCCCCAAAGCCCCCTGTTCCCTCAGCTGCGAGGGTCCTGAATCCCAGGGTCTCTAGGTAAGTATAGGAATGAGTGTGTGGATGATGAGTCCCAGTTCACCATTTCCTGGCCCCCTGAAGCCAGGAAACACGCTGGATTTGGAGTGTAGAAAGGCAGCTGCTGAGCCTCATAGGCTGCCTTGCCCTGGGGTCTACATAGATATGGACCCAGATGCATCCCCAGGCTATGAGAGCATGGGAGGAGCAGACAGTACCAAGCAATATAGGAGGACCAGGATGAAACAGCTGCACATTAGCATGTAGAAACAGACAAAGGCATGCACCAGAATAGGAAGGTGCAGCAGAGGCAGGGGATTGGCTGTGTCCTCACCTTCCAGCTGTGGCCCAGGGAACGTGTGCGGGCCTCAAATTCCAAGTCTTTACCAATGTAGTGAGAGACCTGAGAGACCTCCCAGCTTATGTTGCAGCTCTGGGTTTCAACGTGGAGGACTTGGAGTGAATGAGGGGCCATCAGGCGAACTGCAGAGACGAGGGAACAGAAATCAGAGATCAATCAGTAAGATATCAAGAATATTCAGCCCATTTCCCACAACACAGCACCCCCAGCACCAACTCCTCCTCAGCAACTGCCCTGACTCCTCCCCTGCAGTTGCTGTACTTTCTCCTCTGCACCTGCTTCTCCTCCTCTGCACCTTCTTTTCATCTTCTGCATCTGCTGTTCCTCCTTCTTCTCTGCACCTGCTTCTCCTCCTCTGTACCTGCTTCTCCTCCTCTGCACC